GCAAGGACACAATAAATTGATCAAAATTGATATAATTGTGATAAACCTGTCTCTTTCAAATAAATGCTGTCCTATTAAATTTGATTTATTAAAGAATCCTGAGAAAAAATGTATCACGGTTTCCAGATAGATATAAAAGCATTTTCAACATCGATAATAATGATCATTATTAAAGCTACAATATGTAACTTTATTGGCCACAAGAGGGCGCCGTTTCCAACAATAACAAAGGCGTATGTATGTGACACAGTGATTAGCTGAATGATGGGACTTGCTGTCAAGCTGATGGATCATGGATCAATAATGTTTAAAGGACAAGTTCGGTATTTTACAATTGACCCTTCGCTAAGCCACGCCCGAAAACCGCCACTGGCCAATCATGTCGTAACAACCGTAACTATGCGCGGGAGGTCTGGCAAGCTTTCGAACGAGGGAAACATGCTGAAGCATTGTGCGTATGGATTGTGCAAATCTGATACCGGTATACTAAAAGTTTGGACGGGGGAGAGGAATTGTTTTCCTTCCAGAAAATCTAAAAGCCAAGGGGAGAAATGATTGGCGTGATCTAGCATCTATGTGCGAGACCCATTCACAACTAACGTTACTGGTAAATGTCGACATGCTTAACAAAAACACCTATTGCTTGGAAATATTGACGGTTCTTTGGTCATAATGATATAACGTAAAATAAGACGATTAAAGAGACAAGACAAAGGCTCACTGACATACTTTAAAATATATTTCAGCATTTTGTTAATCGACGTCCTACTAACGTTACCCCTTAACTTAACCCAATCCGATCGCGGCTCTCCCGGTATTAGTGTTATTCCAGAAGATTTATTGATAAGCTGTTTGATTTATAATTATTAAGATTATTTTTCACATAGCCTGCTGTGTATGAACATAGCTGTTCCTCAATTTGTGTTTTCCATTTGAACGGTCAGCATATGAGGCGCTGCTGCTTGCGCTGGGACTATAACGTTAGGCTTTAACTTCAATTTTTAAGAAATTATTCCCTAATCCGTTGCATATGATGTCGTGAATATATCCCTCGAATGCATACTGTAGTCCCTTTTGTCTTGCTCTCTCAGATATTTCACTTGTTCGGCGAAAATTACTAATTATCTCATTGAAATGTCTGATACCGGGTGCATCCACACTATAATAGATGGGCCAGCCGCGAAAGCTTGACAGGCGTAGCAACAGTAACTAGGGAGGGCAGGGTTTAGCGAAGGGTCAATTGAAGCCCTGTTTTAAGATCGTTTCTGATTAAATAGTATGGTTAGGGTAGTTTTTTAGACAGATGCTGCTGTCACGAGAATTTTCGGTTTCTGTGTTAGCACCCCCCTACCTTTATAATGGTAGCATAGGTGCACAGGAACAATCATTCATAAAAACGCATAAAACTTTAGATTACGAAGACGTGAAAGTCACCGAGTGGTCTGGGGTGTTCACTGATATGCTCACACAAAAATCGCCTCAAAAGATGCTTTCCAACAGGTGTTTTACCATTCGTTATAAAACTGTAGACCTATTTTTCCAAACGCCTCACAGCCAGACATTCTTCCGTTGAGAGCTTGAATAATAGACAATCCAGCCCAGTTGGTGGCAATAATGCACCTTTGCCAAATGCAAGCAAACCACTTCTATACACGCGACCTATGCACGCGACTGCATAAACTACAGAAAGAATACAAACAGGCTCATTTGTGTGAGCATATCAGTGAACACGCAGACCACTCGGTGAGTTTCACGTCTTTGTAAACTAAAGTTTTATGCGTTTTTATGAATGATTGTTCCAGTGCACCTATGCTGCCATTATAAAGGTGGGGGGGTGCAAACACAGAAACCGAAAATTCTCGTGACAGCAGCATCTGTCTAAAAAAACGACCCTAACCATACTATTTAATCAGAAACGATCTTAAAACAGGGCTTTAATTGTAAAATACCGAACTTGTCCTTTAAGGATTAGTGAAAGCACTCATGTTTTTGAACATTACAGTGGTATGAAGCAGGTCACGATTGCTAATAAGATACATATATCAGACGCAAGTCCAACGGATATATACCATGTCCACACTAATAGATTTTCGTTTGAAAACGTATATTTTTCTCTCCGTTTTGGCCTTCTGTCCACACTGAGACGGTGTTTTAAGTCAACGAAAACGTATCTTTTGGAAAACGCTCTCCAAAGTGGAAAAATTTGAAAACGCCGTTTTCGCGTTGTAGTGTGGACAGTGAAACCGGAGGTATTTCAAAACGATGATGCAAGTTTAGTCATGTGATCCATGTAGTACCAATAGATATTCACGTTTACCAGTAGGCTATTGTGCCTGTTATATGTTGTTCATTTTTACACTGTTGCTAAAATATGTTGCTTTCTATGTTACTTAATATGTGCTATTCTTCATAGCACAGTACTGCAAAGAGGACAGATAATGTACTCACATTTGCTGTCCTGCGGCAAAACAGGAGAGCAGTTGTGTTTTAGACCAAACATATGGTGACTGAATGCGACCTGGATGCATCAGTGATGTTGAGATATTTTGCTAAATAAAACTATCCTGTTAGAAGAATTGCGCGATAACTTCACTTTATTATTTATTTCCCCCTCTGTATCGTCTCAGTGAGCTTTTGTGAAGTTTCACGCATGCGCAGTAAAGTGAATTTAGAAGTTTCTCATCCACACTGAAACGTTGGAAAACGCCTGAAAACGCTAGTGTGGATGGAGAGCGTTTTTAAACGAAAATCCCGTTTTCAAATGTATCCGGATTAATGTGGACGTAGCCATAAAGGAATAAGGAAATTTCATCCTATTGAACAACATGCAAGTGCTGGATTACTCACACAGGTCAGTTTATTAGATGAATTAAACTTGTGAGGGAAACGCAGCTCTGTTCCAGTTGGTATAACATTACACTATCACACTAAACGGCACTTAAATGTGTGTTGAAAGTTATAATGTTATTCTACTACGTGTTAATGTAGTTCGTTTGCTATATGAAACTAGCAGCTAGATCAACATAAGAATAACATACTGACCATATTCTAACATTTCATCATGTCAAGCTAACGTTATAACATTGATTTGTTTAAATGTATAACATGTACATTTGTTCACCTGTCTAATAAAGCTGTAAAGTCGTGACTCGTGAATTTCTGTCACGTCCAAATTAGTCATGGACTAATTTTCTGTCGCGCTCTCTGTCGAGTGGAAGTCAGTCTCGGACGCTAGCTCTCGGCATCTCAAAAACATCACGCTGATATTGATCCTCATTCTAGTTCTCCTTGTTTTTCCCAAAGTCTGCTTGCCATGATCTATGTTTGAACGAAACAAGAACTGGGTGCAGCTAAAGCATTGTTCACACTACATGATTTTAAAACGTCAGGCTGAACTGTGCGGTTCACACTACATGACTTGCTCTCAGTGAAATCAGGAGTGTTCAAGTTGTTTTAGCTGTTCACACCACACAACACAATGTGATTGATCCACAACAGGGGGTAACTCACTACACGAGTTGACAACGCATTACATAGAGATATAACCACGATCGGATGATAAGAGCAAATTATTTTTGACTCTAATGAGAGCTGTTTCAGTACTATGGTACGGTCTGAATCATGAAAATAATCAAAAAAATAATGAGTTGACAACAACTCTGTCACCCAACGATTCTATCTTGTCTACAAACCACGTTTTGTCATAAAAAAAACGTGAAAAACCAACAATAAAACGAACCAGAAATTACGCGAAACCGCACGTGCGAAGAGAACACAACACGTAAATATGGACGTCAGACAGAAACTAGTGCTGCACACTGCGCAACGATCTGCTTCTGAGAAAAAAATTATAAAAACTAAGATTTACCTGGTGTCCTCAACCCATGCGTTGCTATGATTGGCTGTACTCATGACATCACTGAGATTGAGTTGCGCGACGGCTCTGGATATCTAGCAGGCTAGATATTTTTCTGGGCTCGGCAACGCGTCTGCGAGCGTTTTCGCTGCGTTGTTGGCTCTTTCATACGAACAGATTGGCAAGCGTTCATCGTCCGATAATCCCCCGCGAATGGGCTTTATGCCCAGCTGCACTACTTCCTGAACTTCAGCCAGCTCCTTGTTTCCTGTCTGCCATTTTTGGCCAAATTGATTAATTCAGGTGTACCTGACCTCAGTAGTCATGGCAACAATAATCAGACACACCTGAATTAATCAATTTGGCCAATAATGGCAGACAGGAAACAAGGAGCTGGCTGAAGTTCAGGAAGTAGTGCAGCTGGGCATAAAGCCAATTGCACGTGATAACACCCTGACCTATCGGCGAGCTCAACGATTTGCAAATCGGGCATAAATCGGGCTTAAAATCCTGTAATGTGAACTTGGCTTAAACGTTACTCACTACGCAGTTGTCCGCGTCTGTCGCCATGGTTACGTCATGGCTATGGCAATACGAGCGGACGAGGATAGCCGAGGATAGCGCGGATATTGCGTCATTGACAGGCGACATTTTTTTTCCGGGACGGCCACTTATTTAAAATTGGAATTTCTCTGAAATAAAAGAACTTTGGAGAACTTTTGGGATATTGTAAGTACACACCTGCAGCAAATATATCACACTGTGCAAGTGATTTTTTGGATATTTTATTACAAAATTCTTACATATTGGACCTTTAATAATTGAGCTATAATAATTGATAACAATTGAGCTCTAAATCAGCATATAAGAATGATTTCTGAAGGATCATGTGACACTGAAGACTGGAGTAATGACTGATGAAGTCATCTTTGCCATCACCGGAATAATTTTATAAAAATATATTAAATAGAAAATTGAAAACATATATTAAAGTAGAAAACGGTTTTTTTAAATTGTAATAATATTTCAAAATATTACTGTTTCTACTGCTCTTGATCAAATAAATAAAAATAAAACACTTTTCAGTATGTATATATTTTGATACCTTTAAGTTTTTTATATACTGAACATTTTATATTTTCAGAGAGGCCATGGCTTGTGGATGCGTACAATCAATGGATTGAGAGAATGAAGGTCAGATCTTAAATCTACAATGACTTTAAGTCATTGAACTATAAACTTTATAGTTAGCTGCACTCATACACCGTTCAAGCAAGGTGCGATATGATAGTAATATCTCTTCTATTTTAATAAGCGCTTAACCGTAAAACAGGGCATTGGGTCTCATTTATACATTTAGTTGTGTGTACTGTAAAATCTGATCTAAAATCAAGCTAAAATGTATTCTAAATTTACACATGCTCCCTGGGGCATTATAAATAAATGTATTTAAATGCAAGACATATTTATGATATGTATTATTACAAATCAAAGTATGTTAAGTTTGTTCTACAAAGGTTTTCTTTTTAGACAATACATTTTTATTTTAACAATAAATAAATAAAAAAATGTAAATAACTTACTGCGGGCACGCAACCTCTCATTTAGAATAATCTGTATTAGGTGTCGACTTATAATGGATCTTGTCGATACCAGCTAAAGTGAGATAACAGGTCAAAAACTTTGTATTATTACTTATATTAATGAATACTTTCCACAGAAAATGCTAAAAGATATTAGTAAATGAACAATGACTTCACCTTGAAAATGTTTTGTAATTATAATACAAAATAAATAAATAAATAACTATGCTTCACTACTGACCATAGGCCTGATCCCACGGGAATGGCCATGGGCCCACAGAAAAACATGAGATATTCTCCATTCATCCGGGAATGTGCATTTTAGTTTACTATACGTAGTTAGTAATCATAGGCGGAGGGTGAACTAATGCCAGGTTTAAAGGGGTCATATAATGCCATTTTTGTACAAGCGAATATGATTCTTTAGGTTCTAAATTAAAAGTTTGTAATATACTTTAATTAAAATTTCTCATTAGTATTTTAAGAAAACCCTTATTTTACCTGGTCAAAACCAGCTCTTTTTTCAGCACTCCGTTTCAGTGCATTTGCCTTTAAATGATAATGAGATCTGCTCACCCCGCCTCTCTGTTATGTGCATACACTGTTGGTAACACAATAACCATAACGTGTTGTTCATTATAAACGTGGGATTATGAATTGTTTTGAGAACGTCGTACATAGAAAACATGCCATAATGTACCCTGAGTGTAAACCTTAGACGCATTCATCGTGAAGCGTGCAAACGATTTGCAAAGATTCATATAAATATTAATCTAAAGGTTAATAAAACATTACACTCATTTCAGATCTTCTGGAGGTTCAGCAGGAACACGAATAGGCCTAGTTGGTAATAATCCTTTATTCAGGTGCAACTTCTTAGCGAAACCAGCTTTATACTGACCAGCTATAAAGCAGTCTGGTGAGAAATGAATTGCGCAAACATGAAAGCATTGACGTTGACCGTGGAGAATACTCCCTTCGAAAACAAAACTCAGCCACTGTGTCTTCAGTGGTTCGGATTTAGGAACATCAAAATGACTGCTGTGTTCCTTATTGCACCCAAGAACAGAACACCACAATCGCTTAGACACCATTCTGCTCATAGACAATGCTCCAGCATATCAACAATGACCGCGCCAGCCCGCGCAGACTATGATTGACAGCTAACGAGCGAGCGGGTCTGTGTTGAAACGCTGCTGTCAGTCAACAATCGTGGGAGGGGCGTCCGACCATGTGACATCACATGGCCGAACGGCTTGATTTGAGACAGGGGAAAACATATGAGGAGATTAAAAAAAACCACTGGATGGATTTTTATCGTTATATGATGGTTGTGTACAGGCACTGCCAACACAAATTGCAGTATAATCAACTTGGAAAAGTGCATGTATCATTATATGACCCCTTTAAGGCTTGAAGATGCGCTTCCCCTTAAAAACACATACATTTCCTTGTAATTTACGTGTCACCACACAACCTATACATCCCAGTATAAATGCTCCCAATAAATGATTTGTTATTTAAGCGTCTACATTCACGAACCACTGTTAGTTTCAACAGAAAAGCAGGCATACTGTATGTGGGCTTTGGCATGCATGCAAAAGAGCAGTCGCTTTATATTCACTAAAAAGCTATCACTCTTCTTCTTAGGTCATTGCGATTTCACAAAGTTCTATTATAATAAATGAAGCTGACTACACACAATGGATTTCCTATTTACATATTTTCTACACTTTGTAATAATGAGAGATTTTGGAAGCATGCAGAACTCAGAATACACTCACTGCTCAATGCCAGGCTTTTTGTTCAGTGCTAACTTAAACACCTCTGATTGGCCATTGAGTTGAAAGAAAACGTGCAGCATACAAAATATAAAAAACATTAAACAGAATACAATCAGAAAACTTCAATATAAAATCCTTAAACTAATCTTAATCAAAAGAATTTGCACAACATTGACTAAAAAATGTATTTTAGATATGGTAATTTGTCTTCTTTTAGGCTAATTTTGATTGGCCATTGTGGTTAGTTTTGTTACGCAGACCTGTCAAACCTGTTCATTGTTGATGTACAAGGGAGAGTGAGAAGACAGAAATAAAATCATGTCATGTGGAAAATCATGTCATAATAGTGGAATAGAATCTTTTTTAAATGTTATTTGAAAATGTAATATTTAAACAATCTTTGAAGTCTTCCCAGTCTTGATTGAACACTGTGGCTGCTGCCTTTCTTTTACAGGGTCCTCCTCATAAATGTGCATTGTTTTTCGTAGATAATAGTGGAATAGACATTATTCTTGGGGTTTTCCCTTTCATTAGAGAACTCCTCATCAGAGGCACAGAGGTAAGTTAACAACAATATGTCTCAGAAGAAAATTGTAATTTTTGGATCTTCTTAATGTGCTCTTTGAGTTTTAGTTACATATCCGAGTATGTTGGCTTTTAGGTTGTGCTTGCCAGTAACTCAAGCCCTGCCCTAAATGATGTCACTAACAGTGAGCTGCAGATCCTGACTGAAAGAATAGCCGCCATGGACCCGGTCATTCAGTGAGTTATTATCACCCTTATTACCAGCGATGGAAAAAGTTTACAAAAATTGTTTTAATCATTTGATTGAAGATAATGTAACATGAGAATGGCAGTCAGTCTTTGTGCACATCAATAGAACGTGTTTGTGTATATGTTTGTGCACTCTGTCTCAAGTCACCCGTCATAGAGCTAATTTATGACAAACCAGTTTAGAATTATAAATATATTAATATAATTTATTTGATTTTTTTTTTTACTATGAAATAGCTAGTTTAATAGGCTTTGTAAAAAGGCTTTGTAAAAAAAATATAATCCTTTGTAAAGGATTATATTTTTTGGATACATTTTTTCTCTACCAAATAGCACATTCAAACACATTTTACAGAACTTCTAAGCATACCTCATTTGTTTTTTCAATCTCCAAAAATGTATGTTTGCTGCAATACCATAGAAGAAAATAGCCTATAATAATATAATAATAATATAAAAATATACTAACAAAGATGTTTTCTATCAAATGTTAAATGATTAGTTTTGAACAGAAAAAAAAAATAATATAAATGTACAGTTGTATCATTAATTTTACAGTGTGGTGTGGTGCCTTTTGCTCCTGTATATGGTTTAACCCTGTAATCTAAACATATTATTGTCAGAAAATCTAATTTATTTAAATGGAACAGTTTAAATGGTTAGTTCACGCAAAAAATGAAAATTATGTCATTAATGACACCCTCATGTAACCCCAAGCCCGTAAGACCTCCGTTTATCTTCGGAACACAGTTTAAAGGGTACATATCATGCTTTTAAATCATTCATTTTTACATATAAATCATACTGTTGTGGTCTATATAAAACATAACTGCAATGCTTGGGTCTATATTCCTCATTATTATAGCTCCACAAGCCCCTTTTCTACCCCTTTTCTGATGCGACCTTTGAGCGACCCTTTTCAAAGCGGCCCCTTTAAATAAAAAGGAGATGCGTCATACCCCGTACGCTCTCCAGGTCAATGAGTTCACGGTCGGTTCAACTCCCCCGTTCGGCCATTATTGTAGTTTGATTAGAGATATACGATTATATACGATACCTTCAAAGAACATTTTTATTCACACGTTAATAAAATGGCAACAACAGAAGACTTGTCAATCAAGCCTTACATATTCGAGCCAGAGCGAGCGAGTTGATAAAGACGACGACGAACCTGCAGAACAACATCTTCATATGGATGTATTGGTATGTGAGTTAACTGTTTTGTGTTATTAGTGAAAGTCGACTATTTCTCTTGTTAAAACAAGCACACGGACAAGATAAATGACTACCGTCTAATCTTACCACAAAAAATCTGTATTGATAATATGATGCGTTTAGAAAAGCATCAGAAAACACAGCAGCTAATTGACCATTGATAAAACTCAAGAACAATAATACTGCAGACGTGTAACGTTACTTCAAAACAAAAACAAAGAAAGACAAAGGTACTGCTAAACCATGACCACCATGTGTTTTAAGAAAGTAAAGTACTTTATTTTTATTAACGATATTTACAGCTTATCGAAATGCTCTGTTTGTCGTCTCCAAAGATAGAAGGAATTTACCTCTCATTCAGACGAAGTCAATCGGCAAACCCTTCTTTATACTTGGCGGAGGTTGTTGAAGTGGGAATCCTTGAAGTGCTTCAAGTCGCTACATCCAAAAACCGAACATTTTAACTTGCCCTCTCGTAACTTCTGCATCATTGAGCTCGGACTACAAAATCGGAGCGAGAAATAATAATGGCGGATTGCTCGAAGTGTTGGACCGGTAGTCAATGTCCTTATTTGGCAGTTCCGCTGCAAATACAGTGACGTGATAGTTCAAAAAACGTCATAGAAAACAGAAAAATCTGAACAGGTTGAAAAATATGACCAAAACAGAATATAAAGATATAAACGAAGCACCTTAAGAGAATAATTTCATCTTTTCTGTACTTACAAACACTCCAAATATACAACAAAATGCATTTAAGAGCTAAAAAAGTGGATTTTGCATGATATGTCCCCTTTAAGATATTTTAGATTTAGTTCGAGAGTTTTCTGTCCCTCCATTGAGAATGTATACACTGTATACTGTCCTTGTCCAGAAAGGAAATAGATGCATCATCAAAGTAGTTAGAATGTGTTATAGCATCAAAAATACATTTTGGTACAAAAATAACAAACTACGACTTTATTCAGCATTGTATTGTCTTCCGGTTCTGTTGTCAATCCGCGTTCAGTGACGCTGATGACATAATGACGCTGCTGATGTGTTCTAGTGTGTCCGTGTATTCAGGTTCAAATAAATATGGCTAGGGAAAAAAATGCAAGTCTTTCTCTTGTATTGTTTACAGTGTGCACCTCCCTCAGACTGTAAACGAAGCTTGGGCGCACCAGATTACACGTCAGCAGCGTCTTGCGTCATCAGCGTCACTGAATGTGGCTCGACAACAGAACCGGAAGAGAATACAATGCTGAATAAAGTCGTAGTTTTTGTTATTTTTGGACCAAAATGTATTTTCGATTCTTCAAAACATTCTAACTAACCCACTGATGTTACATGGACTACTTTGATGGGACAGTATACCGTACATACATTTCCACAGGAGGGACAGAAAGCTCTCAGACTTAATCTAAAATATCTTAAACTGTGTTCCGAAGATGAACAGAGGTCTTACGGGCTTGGGTGAGGGTCATTAATGACATAATTTTCATTTTTGGCTGAACTACCCCTTTAAGCTTTAGAAAAAAATCTATTAATCTTTCTGATTATTTATATATATTTGGGCTGTCAGTTAAACGTGTTATTAACAGCGTTAACGCAAACCCATTTTAACGGCGTTAATTTTTTCTTTTTGGCCTAGCAAACTTTGTAGTTTTCTTTCACATGCTTTTGCAACAGGACACGGCATGCGCGCGCTACGCTATGAAACCTATTCATTTCAATGGCTTGCGCCGTGCAAGGACGTTTTGTTGCTTCGTTAACCAAAGCGCAAGCGGATCTAGCTAGACCGGAAACAAAACAACAGGCACGGCGCACACACTTGTTTGGGCTTGCGAGCCAGCCAAATAGTTGGTTAACGTTACGTTTTGAGTGGATGACGAGCGCGAGACGCCAAAATGGATGCCAATAAGATTCTGAATGGAAAGTTTACTTTTAAAACGTTGACAAATGTTTCCATTGACAAGACCAAGTAATCTGTGTGTTTTGTCGTTGTGAACTGAGCTATCATCATTGCAGCACGTCCAGTCTGAAATACCGCTTGATGATGGCCATGCACACACACACACACACATAGCTGATGCGAATTCTCCGCCGCCTCATCAATATCAGGACCTCGTCAGTATTTCTTTCACCCTTTTATTGATGGACAGTGTTACATTGTGTGAGAGATTATTTGCTCCAAGTGAGAATTCTAGTGTGAATTTGAACACAGTATGCCAATGTTGTTTTCAACAAGAGACATTTAGAATAGATAAAAATGTGTGAGTAAGGGGCTTTGAAGGCTTTGAAGCTCATACAAATCATTGAGGTGATTTGAGGTGAGATTGAGGTTTATAACGGTTTTAACAGACTACTTGATCAAAACTTTGCTGTAAAACCTATTGTACTACTTTTTTAGCAAATAAACTTACATTTAATGCATGTTGATAATTTAGAGGCCTTTTTTTAATTTTGTGAATCAAATATAATACAGTAGGCTTTAAAAGGTTGAAGGTTATTATATTGTGATAGTTTTTTATGTAAATATTGTGAACTGTTACACCATTATTCTTTACACCATACTGCTATAACATGGTAACAGCAGATTGACCATGTTTCCATTTTTCCTTTTTCAGGGCTGCACTCAAAGAGGACAGACTTGCTTTGGTGCAGAATGGTTCTAGTTCTCCTTGTTTAGACCTGAGGTATAGTATGTTTCCCCCCATAGACCTATTTTTTGGAGTGTATAAGACTTCCCTCTGCATAAAACCATGTAATTTCCCGTTATTGTCCATTCTTCAGTCGCCTGGACAAAGCCCTGGCCACAGTCGTCAGGGAGCGTGGCACGGATCTGGTGATCATTGAAGGTATGGGTCGGGCCATCCACACTAACTACTATGCCATGCTCAGCTGCGAGAGCCTTAAACTAGCCGTCATAAAGAACTCCTGGCTGGCCGAGCGTCTTGGAGGCAAGATCTTCAGTGTAGTCTTCAAGTACGAGGTCCCTCCAAAATCTTAAGAGCAACATTAGAGAAACGGAGTTTTTTAGAGGTGAAATGGCTAGCTCCAGAAAGAAAGAGCACTACTTGGTCCTCTTTGCTTCTTCTTGATATTGACGTAATGATTGTATTTCAGGGTTTTCTTTTGCTTCATTAAAAAAAAAAAAAAATCAATTATAAAGGGGTGGTCGTATGTGCCTGCTCTGAAATTGAATGTGCACGGCTGCTGTAACCTCCCTCGTAACAATTAGATGACAGCTGTAGGGGCTTTTTCTTTTGATGAGATTGAATTTTATTGTTCTCAGACCAGATTTCTGTTGCTGAATGATTCTCCATTGGATTCAGGATGGATTGCAATGACAAATATATCATTTTAAGTTTTGAATTACAAGTGACAAATGTAACATTTCAAGTTGTGAATTAGCCCTAATCCTGCTGGCTTTAACAATGTATTTAAATGTATAAGCCTGGTAATTAAAAATGGGTCTTTCTTTTGTAACATCGATAAAAATCACAAAGAATATTGGCTTTTTAATTTCATTGCAGACTTATTTAGATGACGTATTTTGTGTATTTCCTATTTTGACAAGCAATCTGGTTTCAAATGTAACTGTTATGTTTGTATTATTTCACTCACTGTTTTTGTTGTTGCCTTACTGAATCATATCTCATCCAGCTGGCATTGTCTTTTAATGACTTGCTCTTCTGTTCCCATGACAACATTTTGGAGTGACAATGATTTTCTGTTATTTTAATACATTAATAGTGGTGACCCAACTAAAGTGAATAACAAAAGCTTCCTGCACAAAAAAAGCATGCTTGGTTTTTGGCAAAACCGAGTAACTTTATGGATTCAGATTTTTTCTTCCATTGTCTTATTTCGATAGATAAAATGGTGTAACTATTTTAACAAACTCAGATATAGACAAAAGACCTTTTCTGAGTTGTGTATCATTAACACTAGGTGTCAGTTTTTAGTCCTATACAAATAGCTTTCTTGATAAAGGCAAATGCTAATGTGGTAGACTTTCAAGATTATTTCTCCCTCTCTTTTTTTATTTTTCTTTAATTTATCGGTCGTAGGAGAAAATGACATGGAACAACAGATCCTGCTTAAGATATTGCATCATTATATTTTACTGCAACTATTCTCATATTTGATGCAGCTCTCGCTTTCTACAATCTGTGGAAATCTTTGTAATATAAAATCCATTTCAGGGTTGTACAGCACAGCATTGCCTCACTATCACAGCTCTTTCTGGATGGGTGAGAGACAGATCGAGTTTGTGTGTATGTGAAAGAGAAAAAGTCAATTTTAAGATAATCTATACCACAATCATTAGTTTGTGGGAACTAAATGTTAAAGCACAATATTTCAGGGATATGTCACAGAGTAAGAATCGCAGCGATTTTTTTTTCTTTTCTTTTTTATCATTCTGATTAATTGGTTAATTTTCTCAATGTATATTTTATCTTATGTGTTACTGCATTATTTACGTGTGTGTGTGGCCCCCAAAAACCAAAATGTGTCATAAATTGCATACAAATTGACAAGCTATAATGTATTTTAAGCACAGTATTTACGCCATCGTTCTGACTAAAGGTTTAGTACTGATGGTCTAGACTCAGTCAATCAGTCGGGTGGTAGCTTTCAAAATATGCTCATCATGGACATTGTGAAAACAAGGATCTCTCTCAGACTAAATCTGTTTGTACAGTCCTCGTTTATCATCTGGCCAAAGGCTAACTTCCTTTAGTAATGCATACATTTTGTGAAATACTGTAAAATCAAGTGTAAATATACCGTAAACTTGTACTTAAAATGTACTGTTTATTTGCCTTTATCTTGATGCATTCTCAAGATTTCAGAAAATTAATACTCACTTGACAATCACATGTAATTCTATGTCAAATATATTTTACACTGTCTTCACTCAGTTTGGGTCTCTTTAATCTCTGTATTTGTATTTGCAAAAATAAAATGTTACCCTCTTTAGTATTGACCTGTCACCAAAGACATTACCAGTTTTGTATATTAGATCTTTACAATCAACACGAAAGTGTTCACAACAGATTTTGATGTATTTCTAAATGAAACTGATATACTTTGAGAAAAAAGGCAGGATTATATCCATTGATATCTAAATGAGAGGTGATTGGAAGGAATAGTTGAAAATGGGTGACATGAACTAAAAAGAAGTTGTTTCAAAGGTAGAGCACAGGTGAAATATCCAAATAATGAAATGTCTCATCGGAAGCCACAAATATGATTGAATGGCTGCCAGTAGAAAAAAAAAAAAATGCGTTTATGTATCCATGGTGTAAGTACAACATCTACCACTAGGTGGTTGCTGGACCAAGCTAACAGTCAAAATCTAACCTCTTGACCTGTGGCTCGTTCTTCGTACGTCGCTAACTCACTCAGTTAGCTGGATTTGATTGTTGGCGATTTGCCATGATCTTGGATCGTTTGGTTCTTCGACGCTCATCCTGGACTTGCTGTCATAGCAACAGGTCCGTCAGCTTGAACCTGCTCGCGAGCAGGCTTATTTCATGTAAACAGGATTAGATCGCGGCTGATACGGGAAGTCCTTCAGCGCACTGAGCGCAGCGCGATAGTGTAGCACGCTAGCTTAATTTCTGAGATTTATTTTTGTTTTCTCGTGAAACGATCGTCGTGAGGGCAGTGGTGTAGTCTACGTGATACGCAGGTATACGCCGTATACCCACTAGAAAATGTCAAGGATTTGCGTATACCCACTAGGAAATGTCAAAGATCTCCGTATGCCCACTTTAAAAAGCGTGAGGATTCGTAACAACATCGTTTTGTGAAATACATTTCCAACGACATCAGCACCCCTAAACGTAGGCGACAGAATTCCGTGTTCCCTAAGTAAGTTCTGTTATCAGATTCAGCGCGCGAGCAGAGAGCACGTCAAAAACAGAGGACAGGGTGTGTGTGTGTGTGTGTGTGTGTGTGTGTGTGTGTGTGTGTTCGTGTTCATCTGAGCCTCATTGGTCTGTCACTGCTCGTCAATGTCAGAATATTTGAGATGACAAATCAAATCAAAGTAGGCGGGCTTTAAATTCACAGACGCTGAGCGCGAATTTCAGCAGAGTGACTCGACGCTTCAGTTTACGGGCAAGTGCAAGATAAGATGTAAGTGGCTAAACTTCATATTTTACATTTTTTAGGTCATGAATGTTAAACGAATGACAAAAAAAATAACCAGGCAAACTAATATAGTTTTGTCTAATTTCGCCATTTTGAACTGAAATAAATAGGCCTGTAACGTGACTCATGCAATTTAATAGTTTACTGTCATTGCGAGGGGACAAGAAACATTAACAAAGCCGTTTTCATCATTTTAGCCACAAGAGTAATAACGAATGTGTACATATTGAGAATATAATAAAAATTGTAGCCTTTAGTACATTAAAAAAGCTCATCGGGGAAGAGAATCTACTGCCCACTGACATGGTTTTAAAGCTATTTCTTATTCTTTTTTTGGTCTTCAAACGTCTTGAAATGCACATCAGAGAAATTTTAAAAAAAATGAAGCCCCAACCTCAAATTTAGGACCTCTTTGATTATAAAGCCCTATATGGCCCTGTAAGATCAATGTGTAGCCTATATGTTTTGAATGCATTTAATAAACTTAATTACCTAGCTTTAGTAGCTTTCAGTGAATAAACGTGTCAAAGAAAAATTATTCATAGGGAAAATCCACCTATCAGTTGACCCCATGTTTACTGTCTTCACTGACTGATAAAAATGAAAAGCCTATCAGTCAAAGCTCATCTTTAGGAGAGGAAGAGACAGGGCAAGATAAAAACAAAGAGAAAAAGAGGGTGATGCTGATGAGGAGAGAGAAATAATCAGCTGCCCACTGACATGGTTTTAAAGCTGTTATCTATTATTATTATTTATTTTTTATTTTTTTGGCCTTCAAAACATCCTAAAATGCACATATGTAGATCAGAGAAATACAAATTTTCTCAGGGAAACCCTGAATCCCCATGACTAACCTACCTCACATTTGGGACAACAGTGATTATAAAACCCTGCCTTTGCATGTAATGAAACTGGTTAATAGTGAGCATTAGATCCTAAACTAAAGTGTTACCTTTTTTTTAGAACAAATCCTAAGTAATGATCAAAATCCTATGACGCCCCTGCTTCATGCAACCTGTCAAAATCAACGTTTTGTATCACTTGAAGAAAATATAAAAGAAATATATTACTATTGCACAGTAGAGTATAGGCCTATTTCAAGAAGGCCTAATAATACTAATAATAGTTTATTAAAACACACCGAAGCTCAAATTTACAACAGTTTATAGAGATAAATAAAGTAACTCGATGGAATTATGAAAGAAATTGCATAGTAAAATGTAATTTTTAAAATAATAATCAAATCTATTAAAACAGAATTCTAAAGGAATATCACACAAGTTTTGAAAATTTTTCGCAAATGGGTGGTAGTGGCAACGGGGGGGGGGGGGTATGCTGGTATATCACAGTATACTCACTACAAAAAAGTAGACTACACCACTGGTAACATTCTCTCCTTTCACCACCCATCTTTTTAATCATTGTCCACACCTCTCCAATCTGAGTTGTATTCCCGATTGAACTACAAAAGTTCCTCCAATATGTTCTTTTTGCCTGTCTAATTGTTTTCCTTACTATTGCCTGAGCATATTTATATTGAATCATGTGCCTGAAATTATGAGTTCTTTTCATTATTTTAAATGCTTTGTTCCTATTTCTGACTGCTTCTTTACATTCCTCATCCCACCATGGTATAATTTTCCTCATTACCTTACCTTTACTTTTTGGAATAGACTCCATTGCCGCTGCTATTATACCTTTCTTTATTTTATCTTCCATTGTCTCTATATCATCACTAGACTCAATCTGGCTCAAACATCTATCACTTTCTCTTTGAAAATGTTCCCAATTAGCCTTCTCAAATATCCATCTTCCTCCTCTTTCCTCTACACTTTGAGGTAATGAAATATTAATTTTACATAATACTGGGTAGTGATCACTTCCTATTGTCCCATCCTTATATACACTCCAATTACATATCGCTGCCATACTGCTAGACACCAGTGTAAGGTCAAGTACAGATTCCTTCCCCGTACTAACCTCTATCCTTGTTTTACTTCCATCATTTAAACATACTAGGTTTTCCTCATCCAATAACTCTTCAATTACTTGTCCATTACTATCCATCTTCTCACTACCCCACAATGAATTATGCGCATTGAAGTCCCCACACCATACAATATTATTATTGTCTTTCCCCTCTATTTCCTCAAGTTTATTTATATCCAATTTCCTACACGGATTGTAATAATTTATAACTACAATTTTTTTCCTTTCACTCCATATTTCTACCACTACATATTCTTGTTCCTTTCCTATACCTAACACCCTATACGAAATCCCTTGTCTTATAAATGTAACACATCCCCCTCCACCACCATTTTCCCTATCTTGTCTAACTGATACGTATCCATATATTATAAAGTCCAAATTGGGTTTTAACCAGGATTCCTGAATGCATATAACGTCTGGCTTTTCTCTTCTATTCCGTATAAATTGTTTGAAGTCCTGTCCATTTGCAATCAAGCTTCTTGTATTCCATTGAAGGATTAGCATTACAAAAATTACTACCCTATACATGTTGTCTCTTGACTCGATTGTACACTGAGTTCATCCCTCACTTCTTCCCACTTTAATCCTGCCATATCTAAGTGGTGAATTGCTGCTTTAACAATAATCTGGATTCTTTCAGTTTTAGACCTGACTTCAGCCGTAGCATTTATCACCCCTGCTATAAATGTCACTATTTTCTTCTTCTCCTCCCATTTTTCCTTTTTTCCTTGATGATCTTCCCTGTTCAACCTTTTTGTACTTTCTTCACTCTGATTCTTCTTTTCCTGCTCTGTTCTCTTAACAGCCTTAACATAAGAGATGTTTTCTTTTAATTTGATCTGTTGTACTTTGACTTCTTTTTTCATCACTTCACATCCCCAAAATGCCACACTATGATTCCCTCCACAGTTACAGCATTTTGGCCTTACTTCCTCTCCACACTTTCCATAATCATGATCACCACTACACCTAGCACACCTCCTCTTTCCTTTACATACCTTAGCCGTATGTCCAAATTCCTGGCAATTATAACATCTCATTGGTTTGGGTACATACTCTCTTATACTGTATCTCATAAATCCATAATATACCTCTTTTGGTACCTCCTTTGTTTCAAACTCAACCAACACAGATTCTGTTTCTACTTTCTCCACCCCCCTTGTCATTCTTACTGCACTTTTAACAGACCTGTTCTTCATTCTTAAGTTCTCCACCAACTCTTTCATATTTATAGTAAGTGGAATTCCATACATCACTCCCTTACTTCCGGCATTTATTTTCTCCCCCACTCTTACTACTTTTACTACTTTTCTTTTTCCAATACAACTCATCTTCTTTGCTTTTTCCATCTGCACTTCATTGTTACATCCTACTAGAAGATTTCCATCTCCCAAAATTCTGGCATACTTCACTTCTCCTACCTTTTCTCTTATTATTTTAGTTAACTTAAGTGGATCTATTTCTTCTCCCTCAAATCGTACCACTACATTAAACAATCTTACTGCAGATTCCTTCCCTACATCTTCTTCACTTTCCGTCCCATTTGAACTAGCACTACCTTTTTTTTTCTTTCTTTTACGGCTAGTCTCCTTCTTATCCTTATGCATTCTCCCTACTTCCTCCCAATCACTTTCCCTCCTCTCATCACTACCATTTCCCTCTACCTCACTGTAATCCATACCATCCACCTGTCTCCCTGCCATGCCTATCCAGATTATTAGTTTAATGAGCAACTAGAAGCTGTGAGGCAGCACCGCTACCGGACCTATACAGGCCGTCGGCCGATGCCGCCCCCCACCACCTCTTAGTCAACTCACCAACCAACAAACTCG